GTTTCTAATATTTGTTCCCATTTACTTCACCTTCCAACCTGTCCCCCATGCCCAAAATATTTGTTTGTAGTCATAGCAGAAGTAAATTTAGAAAGCTGAGTAGTTTATAATAAAAATGTATATGTATATAAAAAAACAGCCACGGGGGAGGTGCCACGAGGAGATGGTGGATTTAGATTGGAGGAGGCTTTCTCAACAGCAGCACCCTTGACATTTGGGGGCAGGTAACTCTGTTCTGGAGCCTGCCCTATGCACTGTGGGACGTTTAGCAGCATCTAGCATCCCCTGGTCTTGATTCACTGCATGTCAGTAGCAATCCTTCCTCAGTCAAGTTAACAGACATTTATCCAGATATTTTCAAATGTCCCTTGGGAGTAAAATTACCCAATAAGAACCACTGGGTTAGAGAGAAGAAGAAATGTGATGATAGGATATTGCTGTGCATTATGATGTGTCCCCCAAAAGCTCTTGTGTAAATGTAGCAATGTTCAGAGAGAATGATTAGATTATGGCAGCTGTCACTTAATCGATGGATTAATGCATTAAATGGATTAATAATTTGAAAGTACTACTGTACTGAGTGGTAACTGTAGGCAGGTGGGTATGGCTGGAGGAGGTGGGTCACTGGAGACGTGGCCTGGAGGATTTATCTTCTCTGTGGCCCCTTCCCACATCTCTCTCTGCTTCCCAGGTGCCAGCAGGTGAGCAGCTTTTCTTTGTCGCTGTCCCTCAGCCATGACGTTCTGTTTCACCTCAAGTCCAGAGCAATAGAACCAGCTGACCACAGACTGCCCACCTCTGAAACCATGAGCACAAAACAAACTGTTCCTCCTCTAAGTTGTTCTTGTCAGGTATTTTGGTCATAGCAATAGAAAGCTGACTAACACAGATGTAGTTTGGATAAAAGGGGAGATGAAGAAGGGGGATGAAATCCAGGCAAAACTCTGGTTTCTTTAGTTTGTGACCTCAGTGGCATTCAACCAACCCTCCCTAAGTTTTAGTGTAAACTAGTGATCTGCAACAGCGACTTCCATAGCCTCAGATTCCTTCCTTCCATTTGGTCATAATGTGGCAGACATTAATTGTAATATTCCTTTCTGATTGCTAGGTATTTGTGGTGTAAGAGAATATCTGTGGTGGGAGAAAAGGGGTGTCACATTCCTTCTCCTGATACATAAACTCTAGCCTTCCATTGGTCCCCAATTTTCCATTTAAAATTATGTCCTAAAATGAGCATAACTCTTCCCTAAGGAACCTAGGTTCCCACTCAAGTGTACTTAAAGAGCAGGGATACATAATTAGGATTATCCTAATTCAATCTAATATGACATCACTTATTAATATCAAGTTCAGTAATTTTGGTCTTTGGACACTAAGCTCAAAAGCCAAAAGGTGGAAGCAACCCTAATGTCCATGAATAGGTGAATGAATAAACAAAATGAGGCTTACACATATAAGGAATATTATTCAGCTTTAAAAAAAGAAGAAAATTATGACATGCTACAACCTGGATGAACCTTGAGGTCATTATGCTCAGTGAAAATCAGCTAGTCACAAAAGGACAAATATTGTTTGATTTCACTTGTATGAGGTCCTTAGAGTGGTGAAATATAGAGGGAGACAGAAAGTAGAATGGAGGGTTTCATGGGCTGGGAACTGGGGGAATGGGAGTTATTTAATGGTACAGAGTTTTCAGTTCTACAAGATAAAAGAGTTCTGGAGATGGCTAGGAGTATTTGCACAACAATATGAATGTACTTAATGTAACTGAACTGTACACCTGAAAATGGTTACAATGATAAATTTCCTATAATGTGAATTTTTCATTAAAAATTTTAAAAATATAAGATGACAAAAATTAGCTTAAGTTAAGGCAACATTTATTAAATTTCTTTGTAATCATATTACCTAAGGCATAGTGATGCATATTTGGCAAGGATTCCATTTTCCTTAAGGCTTTCCTTAATTGGATTTTAGTTCAGGAATACATTGTATTAGACTGGTGTAAATTTGAAAGAACTTGCTTATGGCATGGGCTATTATTCATGATAAATGTATTTTTGCCTCACCAAGGTATGATCAAACTCAATCACTGTTTCTGGGATATGACTTGGCCAGTTGTGGCAGCAGCTCTGGAGGTCACCTGTTTAACTGTGGCCTGGCCAAGTAAAGCATGGTGGAGCA